TTGGAGGGTTGGAGAGCGGAGGGTTGCTGGAGAGGGGCTTGCTTCGATGTCGCTGTGGGGGCCACGTTAGCGTTCCCTTCGCAGTTGCTTCTTGCGCTTCCGCTTCCTTACTCTGAACCGTCTGCGGCATTCTCCAGCTACGCAGAGACATGGCATCATGTCACCCGGCCCCAGGCGCCTGAAAGCGAAGCATTTCAAAGGTGACTAAGGCTGATTTTGGAGTTCCTGTTTCATCTACTTCGAAGCGTAACCCCCGGGGCTCAAGTTCCCTGATTTTCCTGTGAGAAGAAGGGAACCGCTGAAGAACTGAGAACCGTTTCGAGCGTGTGCACGAATGCCGGCCTTCCTCTCGCTTCAGAGCCTCAGCTCCTGGGAATTATTCGTGTGACATACAAAAGAATGCTAAATGCCAGGCAAGCTTCGTTGGGGTTTACGATCAGCACGTCCGTGGTGGGGCGCACCTCCCCCGTCTTTGCCAGCTGGGCGATCACGTGCGTCAAGGGCGAATAATACCTCTCAGACACGCTGCTCACACGGACACTCCGCGTAAAGCTTCTGAGGTGTGGGAGTGTGGAGAAAAATGAGGGGTGCTGAAGTAGACCATAATAGTTGCAAGAATAGGCTCACGATCATACAAGCGTCCCTAAAAAGGATTCGGAAAGCCCCTTAATTAAGGGGCATCGAAACTTTGGCATTGAGCCTGTCAGCGCTTCACGAAAGCTGAACCTGGGAATTAGAATGGCCAGCTCCGCAGAGCAAAAGCCCTTGTAAAAAGCCCAAGTGCATGAAGTCCCGGAAGCCATCGTTTGTCATCCAGACATTGCGTTGGATGTAGTCGTAACCTCACCGAAATGGCGACATGACATGCCGCAGCGGGTCAAACCCCAACAGCGAAAGCATTGACCCTCAATTGCAGGAGCCTCTAAAAACCGCCATCGAGACTTCTCCCCCAAAAGAGCTTTAACGGCCTTCAAAATACCTGTTATAGCCTAAAGTACCCTTGTAGTGCCCTTAATGCCTTCATCGTACTTGGTGTGGGACTGGTGCCGGCCTGTTCGGTGGAGTGTCGGGGGGCCCTGGGAGCAAGCACTACCTCATCAGTCAGAATTGTAGTAGTATAGCACAGTGTAGAGCGTCTATGCAAAGTGCAGATAAAGTCTATTCTAATGTATGGCATAATTCATGAAGTCTTGTATAGTGGGGCCAGGCCCCGGCCTTTAACCCAAATTTCAGGGTTTTGGGGTTTTGGGATCCGAATCAAGGCAGATGTGACCCAGTGGTATGGCCTAAACCCGAAACCTCAAAGCCTCAGCCCCAAACCCAATGGTCTGCTTGAAGTTTGCCTCGGGAGGAAGCACAGCGAAAGCCGAGGCACTGTCACCGCCTCTGCCAACTAGCGACCAAAAGTGCGGATGTTCCACCTCGCGTCAGGGCTCTGAGCTTGCATTCTTGGACATTAAAGTTCTACTAAAACTTAAACCCTGAATCCTGAACCCTAATACCGCCTTTAGGGTTCGGGCTCCTAGGTTCTAGGAGTTGAAGTCATGATGTAAGGTATGCTCTGTTGGGGGGTTAGGTCCTGAAAACCCCTTTGGATGTGCGAGCGGCTCAGGTTTCAACTCTTGGCAACTCGGACATCCCATGGTGGCGTGGGCTACGATGTTTGCATGTTCTCCGGTCTGCGAAGCTGAACCGTGCGCAACAAAGTTGCGGGCGCTCGGCGTGTTTCGGATGCTGGAGTGTTGGGGAACTCTCTGGCCGTGATCAGCATCACTCTTTAGGGTTTAGGGTCTCGGGTTTAGGGGTTTAGGGTTTAGGGTACTCTCTTTCCAAACCCGCTCTCCTAGACCCTCTCCTTGCACCGGAAGCCCGAAACTCAGCGCCGGGAAGCAAGCCCTATAAACCCTAAACCCTAAAAAGCCCTAAGCCCTAAACCCTAAACAAGCCACCCTCTGAACCGCGAAGCGACCGCTGCGACTCAAAAGCAGTCCCTGCCTGATGGTCGGTAACACTTCGAAGGAAGCCGACCCAGTCCTGAACCGACCCCAAAAGTATGTAGAATAATAGCCTTTTTATGGGTAGTGGGCCATGATTTTACCTACCTTTGGGGGGTTTAGGTAAAACCCTAATCTTCAGCGCTTGTTGGGAGCTTTAGTCTTGTGTTGTTTTGAAGGCGCCCTTTCCTCCCAGGAGTTGGGTCAGGCTTGAGGTGCTCATCAGGGCTTTTGGTCTCTTTAGAGGAGCTTTCTGGGATCCACGTCCGGAGGATTCGAACCTTTGGATCTCGGAGTTGGGGCTTCTGAAACATTAGTGGTAGGGCTTGGGCTCGAATTTCGACTTCGGCGGGCTTTAGAATACCTCGAGCTCGAATATGAGCGCAAAGTCCCTTAGAATCCGAGGAGCCTCAACCCTCTGCAGAACCTTCTTTTGGGGTCTAATCCACAGGCTTCCCCATCCACCCTGCACCCGAGAACCTACCCTCGAACTCCACTCCGCACATTTGTCCTTCAAAGCTCCCCGGACCAAGGTGACCTTGGGATCTTGGAACGTAGGGCTTTGGGGCTTTAAAGCTTTAGGGCTCGAAGGCCGTAGGGCTTCACGGCTTTAGTGTTTGAGGGTTTGCAGCTCTTCGACGTTCACGCTGCTTGAGGATTTTACGATTTTGGGCCTTGGGTTCAGGAGGCCGACAAATATCAGCCTAAAACCCTCACAGACTTCGGAACATTTGGAACAGGTTTTCTGTGCTTTTTGTGTATACTTCCTTGTTTAATTGCTGATGTGTATTGCTGTTGTTGTCACCAACGTCCTCATCAGCATCGTCGTCGCCATCATCATCGTCAGTAGTAGCAGCATCACTGTTGTTGTTGTTGGTGTTGTTGTTGTTGTTGCTCTTGTTAGTTATTGGTACGATTTTGTATCTAGCTGTTGGCATTTCCACCATTGTCTGGCTATTTGACTAAGGCCTTGAGGCCTGCTTCCTTTACTGTTCAGGCCCAGGGCCCGAAAACCTTAATTTAAACCCTCAGTCTACAGTATTAGATTATTAGGTTTAGGGTTTAGGGTTTGGGGTTTAGGGCTTTAGGGGTTATACACTAACTTAACTGGACCGTGTACAAGTTGCCTTGTGTTCGCCTGAGAAAGTCTCGCACTCACGACAACGACATTGGTCAGGCAAACAATGTCCCAATCATGCTGCCATCTAACAACAATGAAATCACATCGGGGTCTACGAACATCAAGGACCCTAGATCCCTCTTACAATCAGGATCCCTAGTCATCGAATTTCATACTCCCCCGCCCCCGTGCTCAACAAAGAAATAGCACACCACCGGCCCAATCAAAGGCGTATGGATGTCGAGGTGCGCCATCGACTTCGAGCTCCTCCACTTGTTGCGCCTCAGCAGATAGTCTTTGTGTTTCGGGTTCCGGGCTGAAGATCTACCCGTTGAGGCTCGTAGGGCCGAGGGGCCGTAAGGTTCCGAGGTTTATGACCTGTCGTCAACCTTACACCGCTGAAGTGGCTTAGTAAAAATGGGGCCAAGCACGTCTAGGGCTGTGAGGCTTAGCTCTTTAGTCTTTCGGATTTAGGGTTTCCGTGGTATGTGGTCTACGGATTCAGGTTTTGGGGGCACGGTTTCCGGGACTATGATGGTTTAAGCTTCAATGGCTCCCCTGTGCATAACCCTGGATATAGGATCTTATGTGACCAGAAAGTGCGGGATCCAGAAACACAAGTGCATCTAACACGACTTGTGCCACTAAACTTCCTGCTTGACTTGAGCAAATGATGAATGAAACGCAAAGTACCAGTGGCTGATCGTTGATAGAGACATCTCTCCTGAACCCGAAAGCAAAACCTTGCAAATTGTCAACTCTCAAAGTCTCCAAGCAGCCAACCGTAGACTCTAAACCCTGCGGCTAAACCCAAAAAGTTGGAAACCGGATTAAGGAAACTTAGTGCTGGGACTCCCTTTACATGACTTTTCAGGATTGCGGAAGGCTATTGGGCTTCCAACTTTCCGGGCTTCTACTGTAAACCCTGAGACTGCGCAATCCCGGCAGGATCCGAGGGGCAGGAACAGCGAACTGTTGCGGGCCTTGTCCCCGAACAACACCTGTGCACGCTAAGGTCCACCATAACCGGCGAGACGCGAGATCAGCACATAATCTGAGCAGGACTTCTGTAAAAGGTCAAAGGGCGACCTCAACCTTTCTCGGATCTCAGTGGTTTCGGACGTCGGTTGATTTTTTGCCTCTGGCCTAGCACTTAAGCCAAGATTGTCGCTTGAGGTATCTACCTGACAGTGCGGATGAGTAACCATTTAAAATCTGCTTCACCCTACACACCCCAAGCCCTGGGACTTACGTCAAGTTCCATATTCTTTGGCCATTCCGGATGTTGCCCCTCGGCAGTGACAGTAGAAGTCGAGCCAGGGGCCGCCGCTGCAACGCTACGAATACCTTGTCATGCGATACACGCCGATCTCAATTGCAAAAGATCACGAGGTTTTAGGCTTTAGGGTTCTATAGTATTATAGGGCTCTCGAGAGGGCCTTGGAAACAACAACGTTCCCGAGGTCTCTTTAAGTATAGGGTCCATGCCAATCGCTTGGGCAAACATCCGTTGGATGCCTTCGCGAGGCTCCTTCACCCTCTTCAGCCACGGACCTCGAACATACCCTAAGGCTCATGGGCCGTCAAACTGAAAGAGGATTGAGAACCCAGGGTCCTAATTAAGAGGTACCGGGCCCTGTTTCGGAGGTTCCTTAGAGCCTTAAGGTACATTGTATGTATGTGAATGCCTGGCGTGGTCCTGCCATCATTCCGAGTCACGGTACCTGTTAGCAGCCATGGGAGTACAGCTTGTAGAGCCTTTCAGATCTTTGTTCTTCGCGCTCAAAAAAAATGAAAGGGGCGGGGACCCCAAACCCAAATCCCTCAATCTAGTTCTAATCCCTCAAAACCCTAGACCCTAAACCCCTAAACCCCCTAAACCCCTAACCCCTAAACCCCAAAAACCCTAAACCCCTAAACCCTAAACCCTAAAACCCTAAAACCTAAAACCCTAAAACCCTAAACCCTAAAACCCTAAACCCCCTAAACCCCCTAAACCTCAACCA